TTTACATCTAAATAAGTATATGTAATAGCAAAAAAAATACATTGCTAAATAATTTTCAATAAGATTTATAAACCTATGCATTTTTTGTATAATATAATAATAATTTATTGAACAGAGTTTTTTGAGGAGCACTTTTAATAGTAATAGCCAAATTTTCAACGCCTAAAATATCACGTACATTATTTTTGATTGGCTGAATTTATCATGTAAAATCGCATTTACTATTTTATACAAAATTTAAATTTTTTAATATTGCGTTTAACCCTTCAAAAAATTCAGCAACCATAATTTACATTTTCTAACAAATTGTTTAAAAGAAAAAAAATATTCTCAAAGAATAATGAACAATATTATGATTTTATCAATGCGTATTTTTAGTTCTGTTATATTAAAGATAAAATAAGAAGAAAATGAATTTGTAGAATTGGAATCTTCTAATTGCTATTGACAAGAATTAAGAATTTTTGTGAAAGTTTTTCTTTTTTATAGATAAAACATTAATGTTTTGAATTCCCAAAGAATTTCTATTTCTTTTATTATTTTCAGAGCTCCTTATGATAAAAAAAGAATACCTATTAAAGACAAAAAAACTTATAAGTTTATTTTACAATCTTTTTGAAAAACATTATATTTTCTAAAAATACTGCTATGCAATGTTTTAAATTATCATTAATTAATATTAAACAATTCTTTTATTAATTCATGACTAATTTGATACATAAGCAAAATGTTTGTGCTTAACTCCGAAGTCGAAATAGAAATATAGAAGCGACTCTTGATAGCACATTTTCTTTATAAACACATGTACCCGCATCAAACGCAGGCCTAAGTGTTAAGGTAGACAATTTTATTTCGGGACACGATAAATTGATATCCGATTGTTGGATTTGCCAAAAATACCGACTTTAGATTCGTCTCGACAAAACGAATTTGAATGATATATTCTTAGCTCAAATTCATGATTGTACATGTAGTAAATGTGCTGATTGATAAAAAAAAATTGACATTACTACGGATGCGTAGATATCACAGGCGAATTTATAAAGCCGAATGATCTAGCAGAAATAAAAATATCGACAATGTTATAAAATATGAATGTATCCCTTTTAAAATAGGTTCAGACTGCTCTTATTTGCAGTTCTTACGGTATGAATAGATTATGCGATCGAAGGTGATCTTCGAAAATATGTTAATTAACGGGTTCGAAAAATTGACTTGCGAAAGAAGTTTATCTTATATTGCTGAAATCTGGGAAACATTCACGCAGAGAAATTTGTAAATCGTGACCTTCACCCCGGAATATATTATTGAATGAGCTTGCTTTAATTGCTGATTTTGAACTTACCGGTCTAACAGATATAACAATATGCTGCCGTATTTCGGGAGGTTAGCTATTGGTTCGGAAGAACGAATATTTTTAAAAACCGTACTATACTAACATTTTATTACCCATACCATACTTCTTGGAAATCTATATTGTTTATCATAGGACTCGAATTTCAGGATTTTAAAATGTTGGGATGTTAAGTTTTTTCGAGATACAGTCCGCACGGAGTGCCATTTATTACGTGGTTTTTTGGGGGGAGGGGGTCAGCCATCTATCATGTAATAATAGACTCTAATGATCACGCTAATATCACAAGTGCTCATAGTGGCATTTAATGACGTGATAAATGGCACTCCCCTAATCATACATAAAATTTATTTTTAGAATGCTTATAAATATGGCTTTATACCCTTACAGCATGATTAAAAATCCTTTTGATTGGTCGATTACAAAAAATTTTTTATATTGTTCAAATAAGAAAAAGGCCATATGGTACTTTCATTCTTATTAAAAGATATATTGGCTTTTAGCCAATCAAATGGAATTTTTAATCATGCTTACCCTTATTCATATAAAAGCCAAAATTTTTTGTAGCACAGCACCCCTGCGTTCAAATTAATATGATTTATTTAAGAAAGTTTTTTTTAGTTTTTGATAATAAAAGACGGATAATTATTGCGCACTGGTGACAAGCAAACAGGAAAAATATGACATACAGTATGTCAGCATAAATCAACAGAGGATTTATGATGCACATCTCAGCAGGTGCACACAGCCAGCTACATTTCAAAATTTTGAAAATCAGGATGCTGGGGATTTCGTTTTGTCGGATGTCGTACCGAATCAAATAAAAATAGCGTTTATGGAATTATCTACCAAAATACCAAGAGGCAAACACCAAAGATGCATGAAGCAAAGTCTATTGAATTTATCAATATAGAATCATCACATCTCAATTAAATGAAATATATATCACACACTTGGAAAGCATGAAATCGTAACTGTAATTAGTAAAAAAAAAAGAACAATCTGAAATGCAGTAAAATGGAACATTTTCACAAAGACACATTATTAAATAGCGATAATAAGCAATAATCAATAAGGCACATCATTACCAAACATACTTTTTATTTAGAGACTAACCTTATCCAGGCATGTACAATAATGTGTCTTTTATGAAAATGATCCATACTTTTTAGAGTCTAACTTGATCCTGTTAAATAAGAAAATATCATGTCATTTTTTTCTTTCCATCTCTCCCCATATCGATATATCTTTTGAGTGTTGAGTTTCCAAATCTCAGAATCTTGTCCTTACCGTCATCTGTATTAGATCAGCTAGGAACTTATCAAATGGTATGCGCAACGAGACAGTTACGAACATTGCTGCGCTCGTAGTCATCTCTCTGTGCCACACGATCTATAAATACAACGCAGTATGCGGATAAATGGGAACGAAAATTGACAGTCTAACGTATTATCATTCTCTCCCCTTTTTTGTCCAGCGCTCATGCCAAATACTGTGCTCACTTAGAAATCAATCACGTCACTTAACTTAACAGTTGCACATTACAATAATTAAACCGGAAAATTAATCCAGTTAAACCGGATATGCTGCTGGCTGAACTTATTGTTCGGTACATGTATAACATGAAGTCTGGTTTAATATGAGATTTTATTATGGGGATTGCTACAAGAAAACAAAATAAAAACAATTTTCCAAAAATTAACTGATGGATTTTCACGCATTTCTGAACGAGAAAAAAAAGCACGTATCAACATGATATGTAACTATATTCGGAAATGTATTCTTACTCCTTTTTTCATATACGACGCTATTCAGGTACATAACGATGATAGGTTTCGATGTAAATATTTTTCATGTCAATTGAGATAATTATGCATAACGATAATTTTTATTTGAAATATTTATGCTTCGCAAAGCAATTTTATTGAGTGTTAAAAATAGAATAGATCAGCTCTCAGAATAAATATTGTTGTGTTTAAATTTTCGTTGTTACTAATGTTTTCGTGCCTTTTGTGTTTGTGTTTGACTATTTTTATTGCCATTGTCATTGCGAATGTAATAAGGTTGGTTGTTTATTTCCTGTTATTTAAAATTGAATAATTGTAGATGGCGTTTTTATTTGCGCGCCCAATCAATTGTATTAAACATCATAAATATTGGGCGCCTTATCTTTCTATCGGGAGCCGATATAATAATAATTTAAAAAAAAAGTGATGCGCAAAATGAAAGGTAAATCTAAATCCTTTTTATTCTCTTTGTATGATGCTGTATTTTATTTAACCTATAGCTATGTGTTCAAGGCTGTCATTATTATTTGATGGTGAACACCAACGTTAACCGAGATAAACAAAAATCCTGAATTTTTGCAACTCTTATTTGCCCACATACGGAAATAAAAAAAAAATGCAATATGTTATCATCGCACATCAAAAATTCCCTATTCCAGATTGTCAATATCGATATGAATGTTCATGATTCACATGTTTCTTTCTCTCTTTCTCTTCATTTCGAGCTCATTTTCCTATTTGTCAGGGTTTGTGATCAAATCATTTTTTGCCTAAATTATACTGGGGAAAATAAGGGAATACAAAACTTAAAACGTAAGTTCCCAGATAATCGAAGCGCATAGATCTGATAACGATAGCACAACTTTAAAAATAAAAAAAAAGAGCTTTCTTAAGGAATAAAAACAGGTTATTTCCGCACACAATTTCGGATTGATTTTTAGTAATTATATCGTACGTAGGTATTACATGTAAATGAATACTAGTGCAACTGTTTTCTTTGACATGTTAAAATTCTTCCCGTGCGTCACAAAATAAAACCCAGTGAATCAAAACAAGTTGTAGAATGAATTTCAGTTTTTGAATATTGCAAAAGTTTCGAAAATCAAAAAGCTTGTCGGTTTTGGGAGAATAATTTAAAGGGAATGCGTGTCTAAGGATAAATTCATTACTGGCTCTGCCAATAGCATAGGAATTTAAAAACTAAATGAATTTTTTTTTTTTCGATCAAAAATTTTACCATAATAAACAATCACATGTATGTTAATTTCTAATACTAAAATTACTTAATGTATCTCATATTCCATGAGCATATTCTCTTCATTATCGTGCCACGCAAATGATCTGTCAATCGCGCGTAATTAAATATTTCTCTTTTAGATTCGCGGAGGTGATAATCAAACGTGCACAAGTTTTGGTCAATATTGAAAGAAGTAAAGACGAGCAAATAATAAGGTAAATGCGAGGCCTAAAAAAATATCTATCTAGCTTATTCGCATTTATTTTAACAGCATAATGAAAATTTGATTTGATTGTACAGCATACATTTTCTCGCCTATGCCGACTAATGCTTCATTTCGTGGTTACACGCATTAATTATTCCACCTATCTCGTTATTTTAGAAATTATAAGGTAAGATGGAGACTTTGCCGAGAATTTTTTAGCTTTTTCAATTTTTTGAATTTGCCGCATTTGTCTAGCCTCACAAATAAAAAACGTATTTATTTGATCGCGTGCTCTTCATGTTTACATAAACTGCCAAAGAAAATCCTCACACTAAAATAACCCGATTATTTATTGCTGATTGCAATTAATAATATCAATTTGGTTATTTATTATGATGACTACAGGTTAATATCAATATGGTTAGTTTATTATGTGGGCTCGATGAGAAAATTCTCGTAATATCCGGAAAATGGCCAAATATTTGGTAGCCTCTAAACTTAATGAGATGACATTTTTGGGATCCATTATCTTTTCGTTCAGTCTTAAAAACTTAACCAAAAAAAAAAAAAAAAAAAAAAACTTACGTTGCAAATCAAATAAAAATCACCGTTGGATCAGAGAAAAGGAGAGAAAAAAGATGTAAATGAAAAAGCAACGATCCCATTATTATAATATGAAACGACTAGAACAAATTCATGGAAAAAGTTATTATTAGTCGCTTTATTTATTTATTAATTAGTATTATATAAGTTTATAATTAGAAATGATTTTTTTTATCGAATCAAAATCTCGGTTTTTATTTTATGAAACGTGCATTTGTTTGGCTATTCGACATTCATTTCCATAAATATCTGGTTAAGGGTACTTGGATAATGCAATAATGATTATTATTTATAACTACATGATATAAATCACTAATTAAATTTTATTTACGTATTAAATTTTTTAGTGTCGAGGTTACTGTATTTTCGAAATTAAATATTAAGACAGAAAGATATTGATATTACTAGTTATTCGGTTTACTTTAGATTACACAACATCTAAATATAGATAGACACCGAAAAACACCACCTACTGCCATCGATGTTTTTTCTCATCAATCTACACTCTCTTATTATTTCATAACTCTTTTTTATGAATACTAGCTACTTCTATTGTTTTATATTTAAAAAATTGAAAATCTCGAGGTACTTTTTTCTTACCCCGCCCACAGACGACACACTTACACAAACAACTTTTATGTACTTTAATAATATTATTTTTAATAATATTATTATTAACAAAAAAAATTCAATAATAATAATAATAATAATAATAATAATTTAAAAAATAACTATTTATATTTAATCTGTATGAGTTTGTGCGTCTGTGGTCAATTATCCTTAAATATCGACTGACGCCAACTTTCTTTCCCTTTCCAACATATCTTTCGCTTTCTATTACATACACTCACACAACCACTAATTTAACTTTGTATTCTTTTTTTTCTTGAAACATTGTGTTAGTGTAGACGTAATAACAGCGGTCTTTCATAGCCTCGAGTTTCATATAAAACTAAAACAAAAACAACAATCACCACCACCCACAACAACAACAAATTAAATAATAATAATAATAACATAGACACAGGAGAATGACATCAATAACAACGAGTGCAACCGCTATTGACTCGCTAAACTTTTCACGCCTACAACTCGCACGAGCGTTGAAAGAAGATCTTGAAGACGCGAACGCGTTACCACCAGAAAAGAGTGCGATTTTTTCACGTCAAAGGCCAACGAGACACCAAAATGGTGACGATGAAATAAAAGTGCCAAATCATTTTCACATTCCAAGACCCACGAGTTTGAAAATTCCGATGCCACTCACCACCCAACCCGAAGGAAATGCAAAGTCACCTCACCTTAATGATACCACACCCAATAAACGTTCCTCGAAACCACAGCAGCTGAATACCAACGCGAGAAACAGTGTCGCCATTTTGGGTGACATCAATCTGAATGACCTTGGAGTCGCTGGTAACAGACATTCAACATTGATGGATGTGCGGAAAAGTATTATCGAAAGTAGACATATGGCCATTCCCTTTTCACCCTCGTCAAGTCATCGAACTAAACAATTGATGCATCAACGATCATTCTCGAGTGGTAAATACGCTCCTCTATTTACATGTGTTTGTTTATTTGTTAGTTCAAATAATTATGTATGAAGGGTGTAAATTGTATTAGATTTTCTAATAACATTTACTCCATTTATTGCATGCATCAATGTTTGATTCGGTGCATGATTGGTTACTAATACAGTATGATCACATGATTTGATCGATCATGTAAATTTCTTTATTAATTAGAATCATCATCCGCCAAAGAAACAACTACCACCACCACCAACACAAGTAATTATACTACCCACCATAGTAATAGCAGTAGCAGTAGTCGAAGTAGCAGCAGTAGCAATCTTTCAAAATCACTACCACATGGAACTTCAAAGCTGGCGAGTACAATTGATGTTAGACCACCTTCAATAGTGGAGAATCCCCAAAGCCCAACTCGTCTACATACACAAAGAGATCGTCGACCTTTATCAAGCTTACAAATTTCAACAAAATCTCCCTCCAGACCACAATCAGCCTACGCTAATAATAATTCCACTAGCCCTATTCCGCCACACTCTCGTCCATCTTCAACTTACAGTTCTAGATCGCCATCATCATTAAAATACACCCCGCCTGCAGATTCTGATGAGGTAAGTGATGATGACGACGACGACGACGATCAAGAAAGTGATGATGAATCAAAAGCATCTGATGATGATAAAGATGAGAATAAACAACGAAAAAACATTGTCATATCATCCTCATTACAGGAACAAAAATTCTCACTACTACCACCAATTAAAGGAATATCATCATCAACATCACAAAAAAAATCGTTTATAATGGATTCTTCCTCCTCCTCCGAAAATGATGACGATCAAGAAGAAGAAGAAGAAAGTGATGAATCTGATCACGAAGTAATAGAAAACATCAAAGAGGAAGAAAGTGATGGATCTGATTACGAAAAAATAGGAAAGATTATAATGAGACGAATTTCATCACCAAGACCACAGCTTGATAAAGTAATTGAGGTACATGAAGATTCAAGCGAAGAAACGGAGGAAACAGAGGAGGAAGAGGAGGATGAAGAAGATGATGAAAGTTCTGACGATGAAATTCCACTTGCGAAGAATCCGGCACTTAAAATTACACTTCATCCCTCGAATGATATTCATCGACTACCCAAAGATAATCATGTTGCCGCATGGATTACTGATGTATCAAAACAAGCGTTGACGGTTGAACCAGTAAAAACCGCACGACATTCTCATCGACGCCGACAATCAAATGTTGAACGAAGCACCCAACGGATGTCATCACATGAACATCAAACCCGACGACCAAGATCTGCGTTATTCAATGATGAACTACGTAAGTTTTTTTTTATATTCTATTTATTTTATCTAAATATTAATTGATAAACAACAAAATAATTGATGATGTTGATGATGATGAATAATAGTCCCTCCATCACCACATTTCGCTAAACCTCGACAACGAAGTAACAGTGACAATACTTCCGGTTCAAGACCAAAAAGTCTATATAATGCACCTCCATTACTTGCCCCAATTCCAGTATCAAACAGTCGACAGGATTCTGGAATTTGGGCAAAAGATACCTTACTGGCATTGAGCGAGGATTATCAATCACTAGCCAGTCTAATGCACAACAATAATAGTTACCCGAGTCCAGGGACTACACCTCCACCAAAAGGACCCGGTGAATTCTATATGAATGGAAGTCGTAGTAGAAATGGAAGTAATACTTCCCTTAATAAAGCATTATTGAAACATGGTGATCAAGTGAAATCATCATCTCACCATCGCGTTTCTCATCACCATCATCACCATCATCATAATCAAATTAATCAACGTCCAGATAGTGGAAGTGATGCATGGCGAGGACACCGTCGTGAGAATAGCAGTGGAAGTAGTGCAGGTAGTCACCGTAGTTTTTATGCTAGTAGCGGCAACAATTCTCCTGTTCACATGATGCATTCTCAAGGAATGAGATCCCGTGATTCTTTGAATAATGGATTCTCTAATGGTGGTTCGTCGTCTCCAATCAATCCTCGTCGGCGTACTTCCATGGAAAACGTTCATTCTAATCGTGGATCTGTTTATATTTCTCAACAATCAAAACATCGTACTCGATGAAGTGAATGATTCTCAATATTGAGTGCGTATCTTTGATTATCATTCCTCATCGTTCCGATTACTCCATCCCATTGATACTATACACCAACACCACTCGAATAGAGTACAAAAAAAATGAACAATTGATTTTTTTTATTCATCTATAAATAAACTACGACCATAAAAATTATATATCCCCATTCTTTTGCATGCTTGCATATACATATGCATAAATAAATCCGCATCATTACTGCTTTCATATACATATTATGCATTTTCTATTACTTCATACATAAAATAATCGTCACCACCTTTTCCTTTGAACCTTTTTTATTTCTTTTCTTGTATAATCTTTTTTTTAATACTTGAATAATGTGTAGATGTATCAGCATATCAAATAGTTTTTGTTAATATTTTTTCTTTGTAATTTTCATTTAATAATCTTGTGGTTTTGAAGACGGGGACATTAAAGTGTGCGTATTGTAGAAGGCGTTAATCATTATCATTTCCTTTGTTAACGTACATATATTTGGTGCATAGTATTTTTTTAATTGAATGAATAAATTGAATGCAAATATAAGATGTTTTGATCCAATATATATAATACATGTACATATCTTTTGGAGAGAAAGGGGTTCCCGTTACGTTACATGCCATGCATGCGCAAGAAAATGGTGTATGTGTGTATATATATGGTTCAGCTTTTATTTAATTCGTCTTTCTTAATACAAAACAGGAGAATCCCCGATTTCTGTTTCCCTTTAATCCTCCTATGTTGATACCCATTTATTTTTGGTCTTTAATTCATATTACATGCTTAAATTTAAGATGAATTAATCAAACATGTACATATGCACGTCTTTCGCATATTATCATTGGAAAACAAAGTCTGCATTTTTTTATTTGCATAATTGATATTCTGTGCGCGTATCTTTATATTTACAAAGGTAACGTAGTATTTAAATGAAGTACCTATGTAACAAACGATAAAACTTTGTAGAGTTCCCATTAATGGTAAAAATGTAATAAATTCCGAATTTAGCGAAACGTTTGACACGATCTAAATTTTGACTTCGACGTTAATCATACCATTAAAAATATTCAATTTTCAATTGAACGGAAGATCATTTGGTCACATCAATGAAAGCAGTACATGCACTCGGTAGTATAACGATAATTTATGCAAATTATTAGAATCAAATTATTAAGAAATCATATCCACAAATAAATTGACTGGACTGATAACTTCCCTTGTTTAATAAAAACATGTTTAATATGTATTTTCTAAGAATTGGAATTCCGTTACAACTACATATTATATTCAATTTTTTCTGTGGATACCAAAGCCAATATTTTATTGATCAAATAAATTTGCATTTTATCCAAACATCTTTGAATGCCTAAAGGTAGATGCAAGCCAATTCAATATAAAGACCAATAAAAATGAAAAGATGGAATTATTGGCAAAGAGTGAAATAACTTTGATATAATGTGAAATCAAAGTTTAAAATGTACTAATTATTAATACAAAGCATAAAATGTACTAATTATTAATACAAAGCATTAGTTATGTAGCCAATCATGACTTAAAGCAAGATTCAATACTAAGGCAACCTCGAAGTGGTCGGTACTATTAATAAAAAAATTTCGGAAAATTCGGTTTATCGAGAGAGATTGAAACAAAAGTGAATTATATTCGTTAAATAATGCACATCAACTAATGCAAATTTTATTTTCATCTATCATTTCCTTTATACACCAATAATTTTTTGTAGCGTTCCGCGTAATACTACCGACTTGTATAAGTAATTTGAAACAGCAAAGATAAGTATAAAAGCTCTTTTTATTACTTTAATTTTTGTAAAAAATACTTTTAACCATTCTAAATAACAATTCTAACCACATTTTATTTGAAAAATGCCTCGGATCTCTCAAGAAAAATGCTCACAAATATTCACATTATGAGAAGAAGGTTATTCGGTATGGGAAATCGCTGCTTCAGAGCAGGTGGCCTTGCATTAGTTCTACGAATTTGCAAAAAAAAGAAAGAAACCGGAACCTTTGATGATCTAGAAAAAACTGGTCATCCACGTCTTCTAACCGGCTATGAAAGATATGCTGTCCGGTTGTTAATGACTGAACAGTGTTATACCGCTGTAGAGGTCAAAATCAAACTTAAATCTGACCTTGGGATTGACATTTCCATAGAGAGCGTACAGCAAATATTCTGGAGAAATGGTCTACCCTCAAAATCTAAACACAAAAGCCGATACTCAAAAAGACACACTGAAAACGGCGGCTTGCTTGGGCAAAGAAATACCGAGATTTTACAGTTGATGATTGGAGATTGGTCCTCTAAGTACTGTTGGGTGAAGGCCAATAAGCAACTAAATCAACACCAAATCATCTCTACAATGAAGTTTGGTGGCGGCGCTTTAATGGTTTGGGGATGTATGAATGCTGAAGGGGTGGGGCAACTCAAAAAAATCGACATAAAAATGAATGCTGACATTTACGATGATATTTTAAATGAGAATCTATTAGGTTCACTGTCGGCAAAAGAGCTGAGTAAAGAAGAAATCTTTTACCAGCAAGATAACGATCCTAAATATACATTGAAAAAAGCACAAGTTTGGTTCCTTGATAATGAAATAGATTTGCTTGATTGGCCAGCTCAATCTCCTGACTTGAACCCCATCGAAAATCTTTGGAATGAGGTTGACCGGCGGTTGTGGCAACTTCCTGGCCACTTTCAAGCAAAGATGATTTGTGGACAAAGCTCCAGATCGTGTGGAATGGCATCGAAGCAGACTTCTGTGAACGGTTGGTTTCTTCAATGCCAAAAAGGGTGAATGATGTTATAAAGGCAAAGGGTGGTTATACGAAATGGTAATATAATATTGTAGTTCATTAGTTAGTATTTTTTTAGCTTGATAATAGTTTAATAAAAAGAATCCTTCCTGTGAATTTCGTCCTCGAAATCGGGCAATTTACGCGGAACGCTAAAAAATTTCAAAAAAGTTGGTTAATTTTTGTTTATGTAACTTCTACAAAAAACATTGTTAATATCAATAATCGTAATATTAACGAATATAATTCACTTA